TACATATATATATATATATATATATATATATGAAAAAAGAAAGAAAAGAAAAAGAAAGCAAGCAGAACAGCTTGCTACTCGATTGTTGAGCTACTCGATTTGGGGTTTTCTACTACACACAATAAGCTAACATGATTTCTGGCATTGGCTGTGACTTGAGACACTGTAGCCATTGAGCTTGGGTAATTAAAGAAAACCTCTGTGGTCCTGGGTCTGGATTCTTTGAGCTCACTGGGGTCTGGCCCTCAGCTTACCTCCCACCCTCAGCGCCTAGTGTCCCAGCACAAAGCAGGGTTGGGTCCCCCTCTGTGGAGGAGGGACCATTTGTGCAGGGGCGGGGAGCGATGGTACGCCTGACAAGGGAAGTACCTACAAGGAGCTGCAGCAGCTGAAGTCGGCGTCATAGGCGTAAGTCCCATCTGTATGGCAGCTCTCACCTGTGGCCGGCAGAGGGACTGTCAGAGTGGCAAAGCAGGACATCCCTGGCTTCCCCCCAGCCCCAACATACAGCAGACCTTGGGCAACTCCGCTCCCCACTGTCAGCACAATACCCCTTCCTGCCTACCTCATGGGGCCTTGGGAAAAGCAGGTGTGGGAGCAGGGGTGTGTGTTGCAAATTGTGTTTGAGGCAAGACAAGAAAGATTTTGCAAGGGGAAAGGAAGTAAAAATCTTCAGGGGAGCTGGTGGGGGGCACCTGTAATCTCAGCACTCAGGAAGCTGAGGCAAGAGGATCACTGCAAGTTCAAGGCCAGCCTGGGCTGCAGAATGAGTCCAAGGCCAGACTGAACTACACGGTGAGTCATTGTCTCAAAAAAGAAAAAAAAATCTTCAGAGGAAAGCAGTATCATCTACAGAGAACTTGCCTTCTTCCCATCCTGCTATTTCACCTGTCCAGGTATTAGGCTTACTCTTCTGATGTCAGCTCTTTTCAGTGTACTTTGTCACCCTGACTTCTCCAATGAGGCCAGTTCCTCATTACACATTCTCTGTGTTTCTATATCTATCTGTATAACTATTTCACTACAGTCAGCCGGCCTCAGCCCAAGCTTCAGGAAGACAGAGCTGGATCTGAGTTTTCCCACCAGTATATCCTGATGGTTAGCACTGGATCTGACATAGTAGGCACCCAACAAGTATTTGTTTGTTTGTTTGTTTGTTTTTTGAGACAGGGTCTCACTATGTAGTTGAGGCTGACCTGGAACTCACTATGTAGCCCAGGCTGGTCTCGAACTCACAGTGATCCTCCTCAGCCTCCCGAGTGCTGGGGTTACAGGCGTGTGCCACCATGCCTGGCGCCCAACAAGTACTTTGTTGAATGAATGAGTTTGTGAACTACTTATTGGATTATATCAGTTATTAGTCTACCAGCCCTTTCAGAGTTGATGAGCTATCCCAGCTTCCCAACAAGCATAGTTTCCATGGGTGGGGACCTTCAGAGGACAAGGGCCAGTGCCCTGCTGCAGGAGCTATATAAGCAGGGACCATGCTGCAAGAGTCTATGGCTGAGGAATTCCCTAATGGCCTTGAATGCAGGATGGGAAGTGAGACTGTTGCAGATGGAAACTTTGAACTAGACACATCCGGGTCCAAGTCCTGACTCTTGCCATTTGCCATTTGGGAGATTTACTATTCTGAGCCTCAATGTGCTCATCTGTAAAACTGGAATTTACAGCCCCACTGAGTTCTGTCTATTCAGAGTACCTCCTGAGTGCCTGGGATGTACCCAGTCCTGTGCTGGGCTCCCAGGACAGACAAGTTACTATAAGGACTCAGTAAGACTTGGTACCTTACTACCGTGCTTGGCACATAGTTGGTGCTCAGCAAATGCCTCTGTTAGCCTCATTCTCATTCTGAAACCTGACTGCAGCCAAGGACCAGTCTAGAAATGTTGCTTTTTGACCCTGGCACCTAGTGGGACGGGATGGCTCAGTAGGCAGATAGTACATATGCTTATATTTCTGCAAAGCAGGGGTGCTCAAATCAAGAAAGAGAAAAGACCAAATGTGAGGGACTCATTCTGAATTTGGCAATCGGAAAGGAACATCTTTGATGAAACTAAGTCTAAAGTTGTCATGTTGAAGATCAACATTTTATTTTACCCACCTATTAAGGGGGCACTATAACTGTGGCAGAGATCAGGACTCTACAGGCTTTCATCATCCCTGAGTCCTCAGGCATCTGCCCTGTAGACAGGAGAGGAGGCCAAGAGTCTGGGTACTCACTGCGGCTGCAGAGCCACGGCCGCTCAGGTGTGGACATGTAGTGGTAGCCGGCCCGGTCCACACACTCGATGCTCTGGTCCCCATAGATGATCTGGAAAACCTGACAGATGAGTGCACAGGACTCCTCAGCAGCATCCTGGTCCAGAGAGGTGGAGAAGAAGAGCTCAGGTCCTCACTTGTCTCCAGGTGACCCCTGCTTCCTCACAGTGTGAGGAAGGACACACACCTAGGGCCCCTTTAAATTCATCTTGAAGACATTTCCCATCAACATTATATGATACTCTCTGGGCCTTGTGACTCTCCTATAGAATCCAGAGACAACTCTGACACTTCTGCCATGGAAAATGCACCCCAAATTTCTGAAAGGTTCTTGGAGTCTCCTGAATCTTATCTAAAATAAGCTCTAATTCAATATACAGGTATAGAAGCTGAGGTCCAGAGAGGGAAGTGATTAGTTGGGATTAGAACTCAGGCCTTCTAATGCATAGTAGAAGGAATAGTTAAATATGTGGCATAATCAAAATATATGGTGAATGTTTAAATTTTTAATTTTTAAAATTATTATTTTTATGTTTGAAGCATAGAGGAGTGTTTTGTGGGAGACACATGGCAATGTGTCTTTTACTATAAGACATTATTTTTCAATCACGCTGTGTCTATAACAATTTTAGGCTCAACACAGTTACTACTACTAGATACCTCCCAGATGTCATATTTAGATATGAGCTTCCTTCTGCCCAGTGCAAAAACGGAAGGAGGATGAATACTAAAGCTTGAAGAAAGGAGTTTAAATTTGTGGGTGGGACTTTTTTGAGATTGCATATTTGAAGAGGGATTTATCTCTTGAATTTACCTCTTTATGTCTGTAAGCAAGAGACACAGGAAGGCCATAACAATGAAGAGAGATAAACTTAATGAAGCTATTTCCTATTTTGTGTCTCTAGAAAAGTCCAAGGTATAAATTAAAAAGGAACTCAGGATAGGCATTTGGGAGTTGAAGGGAGTACTGATCATTAAGCCAGGGTTGGTAGTTACAGTAACCCTATGAAATGGACAGGGCTTATTTTATAGTTAGAGATGCTGAGGCTTAAAGTGGTTAAGTGACTGGAATGGGCTCATACAGCAGATTTGGATATTAGTGCCAGCACTGGGGTTTTGGACTCTTAACTCCTATGTCCTCCCAGGGACTATGATGACTCAGGTAGGAAGGAGACCAGAGGCTCAGACAACTCTGGAAAGCAATTCTTCATTTACACACTCCTTTAACAAGTCCTTGCTTCATCTTACTGTGTGGCAGGTACTAGCCTGGCCCTATGCCCGGAAGCCCCATGGTCCAGTGTGATAGAGAAGTCATATGTTGCCTCTAAATGACACAAACTCACTTTCTTTAATAAAAATGAGTCTCCTTGCCCATCCTCTATCACTGTAACCTTGTTCTTTTTGTTCCCCATGGCAATGATATAAAATGCCTTAATCCAGCCGTTCAATCTATTACCTATCAGGCATGGCTCTAGGTACCAGGGGTACCATAGGGATGCACAAGTCTCCTGCATTTTACCAGGAATGCAGTTTGGCTGGGATGGAGTCATGGGGGAGGGAAGAAAGAGGAGGCCAGAGATGAAATGGGGCTGGTGACTGAGGCCTAGATGGCTCTATAAACAACTGTAAAGGTTTTAGCTTTTACTCTGAATAAAAGAGGAGCCACTGGAAGAACTGGAGCAGAGACATGATGTGAACTTGTGTGACTGCAGAGAGAGACAGACTGGAAGAAAGTACTATATACACTGAGAAAGGCCCAGGACCTGGGGCAGAGGGACAGCTTAGAAGGCTTGGGGCTTAAAAGCAGCTGCCAGACGTTGTGCCCCCTAAGGGAGACACCGGATGACTGCTCACCTCAGCAGCCAAAGCACGTCAGCCTATGCTTAGCTCCTACCTGGCACTCAATAAACACGCTGGGGGCAGGGGAGAGGAAAGGGGAAGGAAGGAGGGAGGAGGGAAGGGGATGAGTATGGAGATCCGAGGCGGGGTGGGGACAGGCAGGGAAGGCAAAGCTTTTGCCTGGGGCCACCTTAGTTGCCAAGAGTACCAGCTCTGAACTTCCCGGGTTTGAATCTTGACGTCACCACCTGCTTCCTCCGCCACCTCGCCTTAGCGACTGAACCTCTGGTCTCTTTCCTGTGCAATGCGAATAGTGGCCATATTCGCCCCTAGGGGTCGCTGTGAGAATTAAATGTGAACGCTGTCCCTGTCTGACATGGACTGGCACTGTCTTCGTGACTTTTAACAGTGCTGGGGCCAACCCTGACCCTACTGGAGAAGTGGGCCGGAGGAGGGGGGTTCCCATCAATCTCCTGCCTATTTTGTTTTCGTTCTGTTGGGGGACCCAGGGCGAGGTGTCCCGCAGGGGTCCAGGGCTGGCATCACGGGCACACCTCGCGTCCTGGTGGGGTCGCAGGACTGGAAAGGCAGACCCCGGGAAGCTTGCGAAGGGGCGGGGCAGCCTCTCTGGCACCCGGGCGCGGGGTGCCCTCGGGCTCACCCTGTTGGGCACAGCCAGGATGACCAGGTTGCAGTAGGCGTCGGGGCTGGGGTCCTGAGGGTCCAGCGGGTTGGGGCCCGGGTGGCGCCGTTCCCA